AAATGAATTGGTATGGCTATAACCATATAGCCAAAACGAGTCAGAAAACTGAAATAAAAGGTTGAAATCAGATCAAACCCAGAAGGATTAAGCTCTGATAAAACATTTTTGTTCATTTTTGTTATATTTTTATAGAATTTTAATGTTTTGTGTAACAAAATGCTTTCTCTGTGTTCAGGTTTGCAAAACAGACCAGGTAGATCTATATCTGTTTTTCATTCTTTTAGACACATGTTGGTCTAGATTCATACTGCTGCTGCCAGCATGAGTTCAAAATGAGTACCACAGCTCAACAACTATGTGCAGGGTCTCCCAATCTATCTATCTGTCTATCGTCAAACTTCACCTTATTAGTAATAATAATTCAAAAACTGACGCTTCAAATCAATATTTTAAACAACAAAAAAAATCTAAACCTTTACAAAAAGTTGTCTTTGAGAATGTCTAAATATATATCCAAACCCACAACTTAATAAAAATAAGTATTTATGTCTAAAAACAATTAGAGAATTTATAGGCCTTTTATATATAGGAATCTATGGGTTAAACCATGGAATTGCAGATGTTTTTCTTATTTTACTCCCACCAGATGGCACTAATCTGACTTCAAAAATGGGATTTTAAAGGCATTGACTATTTTAAATGGGTCATATGATGCGATTTCTCTTTGGAGTGTTACAAGCTCTTGGTGCATAAAGAAGATCTGTAAAGCTGCAAAGACTAAAGTTTCAAATCCAAAGAGAATGGGGAAAAGTCAGTAGTTGCAACATTAGATTGCATGCTTCAATTTTCATGCCAAAAATATAGCCACAAATATTTTCTAAGATTGGGTGTTTCTATAAATTAAAATTGTAAATTACAAATAAAAATATTCATAACAATGACATGGCAACAAAAATAAATCATGAGTTTGATAAGATTTTGACTTCTTTGTAAAAACAAATTAAACAATCTGTCATTTTCAGTCATTGACTACATCTGACTGAATACTGTCTAAATCTCTCATGATTGTGATTTGCTCATTACAGCTTTGGTAAAATGTACATCGTATTTAGAGTATAAAATAAATTTATCCTTGATGCATATCAAGAGGTATATGATGGTTCAAAATGAAATTACCCTTGATTTAGTAAATATCTTTAAATACCAGGAATTGCACATTCTACTATGACAATCATTTTCTTATGCTAAATATGCCAAATGGTCAAGATATAATGCATGTGTACAAAAGTTTTTTTTTTGTTTTTTTTTAGATATGTAACAACATGATATAATGTGGCATAAGCTTATGCTAATGTCTGAATAATGATAAAAACAATTAATTGACAAAAATCCTCAGTAAAAATATGACAAAATAGCTGCTTTTGAAGGGTTTTATATGTTGAAATATTTTCTGCATCAAAGTAAAATGTAAAAATGTAGTTAATGATCAAAAAACAGCCTCTCCACTGAATAACTACTGTTTTTGGTTTCACTTTTGCTTAAGGGAACTTTGATGCAATTTTACTTCTCAGTGGTTTGGTCATTTCTTTGTTGTCAGAAA